TTGTTGTTTCTGTTCAAAAATCTCGTTAATGGAAGCTTCCAAATGGGTTTCCAACCACTCATTTTTTACATGGCATGCAGTGAGGATGGTATTCTAGAGACAGAAACAAAGAGTTTATTTTCTACTTGTTTATTGAAAAATAAAACTCTATAGTATCTCTAAACTAGCACTGTGCAACAGAACTTTCTGTGATGATGGAAATGTGCTATCTGCATTGTCCAAACCAGTCACCATTTGACATTTATAGCCATAGAGTACTAGAAAAGGGGCTAGTCTGACTGAGGTACTGGATTTTTAATTTTATTTAATTTTAATTAATTCTAACTTAAAACAGCTACACATGGCTAGTGGTTGCTATGTTGGACAGAGCAGCTCTAACATTAGTGGAATGTTGTATATAATAAAACTCATAAGCTAGAGTCATGAAGTCTTGGGCCAGTGTACACCCTCTCCCTAATTCTTTAGTCTCATTGGGCCCTGTGATAAAGAGAAATGTTTGCAAAGGTTGGAGAACAGGTCGTTGGTATGACCCGGACGCAACTCAACAGACAATGCTATTTTATTCCCTCTCAGATGGTTCAGAGGAGAGGAAGTGCAAGAAATTGCAGAAGAGCTCCACCTCACTGAAAACGTCTCTGTTTGCATTGCAAAGCTATTTCTGCCCATGCACAGCAAACTGAGGGTGTCTGCTTTAAGATGTTTACTTGTTCTATGGTTTATAATAAGAGAAATGAATGCATTTATTGCATAGCCTGTCCATATTATTAAATAAGCAGTATTGTATGCAGACATATGTAGAATCAAGTGGATTTGGAAAGATGTCCATAATATATTATTAAAAGGAAAAAAAACAAATTAAAGAATAATATGTAGTTTAAAAAAAGAATAATATGTATAGTGTAATCCCACTTTTAGAAAAACAAAACCTTATAAAACCATATGTGTGCGTACATATATTTATATAAGTGATAGGACAAGTATGGCAAAATTAACATAAGATTGTTGGGGTGCCTGGGTGGCTCAGTCATTAAGCGTCTGCCTTCGGCTCAGGTCATGGTCTCAGGGTCCTGGGATCGAGCCCCACATCAGGCTCCCTGCTCCACGGGAAGCCTGCTTCTCCGTCGCCCATTCCCCCTGCTTGTGTTCCCTCTCTCACTGTGTCTCTCTCTGTCAAATAAATAAAATCTTTAAAAAAAAAAATAAAGATTGTTATCAGAACCATAGGGTAAGATAGTAAGACTGGAAATGGGAAGAGAGAAAGCTATTAAGTTTGCTTTAGGCATTTCAATTTTGTTCTAATTGTTACTATATGTACACAGTATTTTCTAGTTCAAATAACCAAATATTTAAACACTGAAATTTAAAAAGTTTTTATAGTAACTAGTTGGACAAGGCACTGTCTGTGGCAGGAAATTTTTGTTTCCCAGATCCAATAGCTGAAATAGCTATTCTAATAGAATTTTGCCTATATTTTGTTGGTTTCATAAGAGATTTTGTAAAGTGTTTTATAAACCACATGAAATGTGTAATTTATCATGTTCTCAGACGTGGGGATGTATTACACTTTGAGCAATAGCTAATTCTTTTTCATGAGAATTATAAATCACAGGGAATTCACAGAATATCCTGCACAGAAATGCAAGAGATAATTTTTTTTTTAAAGATTTATTTGAGAGAGACAGTGTGTGCCCAAGTAGGGGGAGGGGGAGACCGAGAGAGAGAGAGAGAGAATCTTAAGCAGACTCCCCACTGAGTTGGGAGCCCTATGTGGGGCTCCATCCCACCACCCTGAGATCACAACCAGAGCTGAAATCAAGAGTTAGTCACCCAACTGACTGAGCCACCCAGGCGCCCTGAGAGAGATAATTTAAAACCAAAACACAGTTCTGGTACCTGGAACATATATTTTTATTTTAGTGTATATCCAAAGCAATAAACTAGTCCACATGCAGAACTTAGTATATGGTAAATGTGGGAAGTCAGCTTTACAATTAACTATCCTTATATTTGTGTATCTTTTTTTTATCATTATGTAAAGTTTGAATATGTAATATATAGATCTCATCTGAATATGTAATATACTTCTTTGTATATACAAAGAAACTAAAATATGATATATATGTAAGTTTTAAAGCAAAACTTAATGAAATGAGTATCAGTAGACCCAACTAATCAATAGAATAACTAGAACATTGCCAGAATAACTCTATTTCTGTGCCCCGCCCATAATTCATCCCCCTCTCCTCCTCCAAGAGATAATGACAATCTGTGCTTATAACTTTGCTTTCTTTTTTAATAGTTTTACCCTATATGTAGGTATCCCTAAACCATATAGTTTTATTTTGCTTGCTTTTGAAGTTTATGAAAATCTCTGTAGTCTTTGCTGATTTTTTTTTTCACTCAACAATATATTTTAAAAATGTATTCATGTTCAGGTGCCTGCTGACTCAGTTGGTTAAGCACCTGTCTCTTGATTTTTGGCTCAGGTCATGATCTCAGGATGGTGGTCTCAGGGTCAAGATACAGCCTTGCATCGGGCTCCCTACTCAGGATGCAGAGTCTGATTAACACTCTCTCTCCTGTCCCTCTGCCCCTCCCCCTCCCCCCTTGCTCATGCATGCTTGTGCTCTCTCTCTTTCAATAAATAAATAAATAAATCTTTTTTTTTAAAGTATTCATGTTGTTGAGTGTAATACTTAGTACATACATCTCTATGTCACTCCTTTATATTATTTCATTTAATTTTTATCAGTCTATCTCTTCCTAGTTGTTTATTAAGGAAAGAGCAAAGGAAGGAAGGAGGGAGGGAAGAAGGGTAGGAGGAAAGTGGGAAGGGAGGGAGGGAGAAGACAGCAGTAAGGACCACCACCTACCTCTAGAGCATTAGTATAGAAATTAAAGATGTAAGGCAAAAATCTCAAAAGACTTCTGAACAAACAATAATCATAATGCAGTACCTTGTCTTCCTTAAAGAGCTTCCCTGGTCCCTTTTCTGTGTCTGTAACCGCTGCAGAGACCTTTGCAATATATTTTTTCAGAGCCAGCCTTGCAT